CATGCTGGGAGAGGGCTGGGGAGCATGCTGGGAGAGGGCCTGGAAGCATTCTGAGAGAGGGCCGGGGAGCATGCTGGGAGAGGGCTGGGGAGCATTCTGGGAGATGGCATGGGAGCATGCTGGGAGAGGGCCAGGTTGCATTCTGGGAAAGGCCCCAGGGCCAAGTGCACCCTCACCTGCCAGAGGAGCTCATCCAAGAGGCTGCCCACGGTAGGGATGGGAGCCCCCATGGCTGCTTGTCCCCTAGGCGAGTAATGGGAGGTGTTTCAAGGCCCAAGTGGGTGGCATGACAGAGATGTCTACTGCCTCTGTGCCCCTGGGTGAGCCCTTGCCTCTTGGGCCTCAGTTTTCTCACCTGCAAAATGGAGGCTTGAACAAGAAGCCTGTAGTCTTTGCTTTTGATTCTGTCTCCTGGAAGCTGCTGGAGCACGTCCCCTCTTCAGCTGGCTTCCTCAGGTTGTGGGATGCTCTGAAAGCCTTTTAGGGAATCGCCACTACTTGAGTACCTCCTGTGGACCAGGTACTGCTGTGGGTTCTACAGACATGAGCATTAATCCTTCAGGGGATGCTAATATTCTCTTCGTTTCACAGATGAGGCACTTGAGGATCAGAGAGGTTAAGCAACTCTTTCAAGGCCATACAGCTGGGGTTGGGGCCTTGGGAGTTTAAATCCTGGTCTGTCCACTTTCAGGTCCCTCTCTGGAGTGGAGTCCCAGTCCTGAGGGCAACTGGCTGGGCTGGGAAGAAACGGTAGGGCAGCTCCTGAACTGCAAACCTGGGTTGGGGTGACAGGGGCTCCCCAGAGTAGGCTAAACTATTTGGTGGAAGGTGAGGGAAGCACAAGTCTAGGAGCTGTGGTTCCCTGTGGCCTGGCCCCAGAGCTGTGACTATAGTGATGCTCTCCCTCTTCATCCCTGAGTCACCCGCTCTGGGTCCCTGGCTCTAGGCAAGGAGTCACTCACTGATCCTCTGGAAGAGGGGCTGGGTGGTGAGGCCAGGGCTAAAGATAACCAGTGCTGGTGGCCGCTGGTGGCTCCCTGGCTGTGGACATAGAGCAATCACTTGAGTTGGGGCTCTGTGGGCCATCACGTTGAGTGGAATGGCCGGCTTTTCAGGGCCCAAGAGTGGTAGCAGGAGGGGGTGAATTTGAGGTCTCATCTCATTCAAGTCTTGGGGTAACCCTCCCTTGGGGGTTAAGGCAGCTCTGGATTTGATTGATGTGTGGGATGACTGGGGCCTATCAGGATTCAGAAAAGTGTGCGGGTCCCTATTCTTGAGGGAGTGAATTCAGGAAGCTGCAGTGGGCTTGGCCTCAGCCAACCTGCAGGGCTTGGGAGACCTGAGGAAAGGTGGGGTGAGGATTGAGCGCGAGAAGCTTGGGAGCCGAGTGCTCTCCTGCTCTTTATCTGTGAACACTAAGCAGAGTGGGCCCAGCGCTAGTCAGGGCTGAGGATAGCAGGGAATTTGGTGTTCAAGGAAGGGAATTTCCTACCCCTTCCTATGGGGGTGGGTCCTAGGACAGGGTGTAGGTTACCTTGCTGTTACCTGCTTTTACAGGGACCCAGGCCACACAGCCCTTCCTGGGCCCACTCAGCACTTCTCGCTCTCCCCTGCCCTCTGTCCCTGCACTGAGAAACCCTGGACGGCCCACTCACACCACCTGCAGACTCAGCTCAGGCCCTCCTGGAAGCCATCCTGGGTCCTCCAAGTGGGCCAAGCTCTTCCTCCTGGGGGCCACCTGTAGCTTGCACCCCAGGGCTCACTGCTGTTGGCATTTCTGTCACTAAGGTAGGGCAGGTCTGATTCCTTCTTGTCCCAGGGCCCACCCAGGGCTCTGCTCAAAGTGGGTCTCCCTGGCTGTGGAATGAAGGTCCTCTGGCATTGACTGCAGAGGGATGAGTGTTGGCTGGAGCCACAGGGGGTCCATGCAGGAGGGGACATCCCTGTCCCCTAAACCCACTGGGAAGATGAGGGCTCGGGTCTTCAGGCCACCACTGGGGATTGATGTCAGGGGAGGCAGGGAACACCCTTTGGAGGGAGGTGCCGTGGGGACATAGGGTGCTGGCCGAGCTGCATTAGGTGTTGGTCCTGGGCTGTGATGCCCTTGCAGACTCCTGAGTCCAGAGCCAGGAGTGCAGGCTGAGGGGCAGTGGCTCCAGAACCTTATCCTTCCCCCAGCTTCTCTGCAAGGAGTGTGTTAGAGTCAGGAGCCTCTGGAGAGTTGTTTCTCAGACCCTCTGCGGGCTGAGGGAGCCAGTTGGGAAGTGAACACACACTCTGTGCTGGCCGGTCTGGGTGCTGCCCTGCAGGAGGCAGCTGGATGGGGCCCCCAGGCTGGGGAGGGCTGTGTCCGACCCTGGGGACTGACTGGGGAGTACGGCTGAGGGGCCAGCTGCAGTTGGCACACGGAGGCAGAGCTCTGGCGGCCCCTGCACATCTGTGCCCAGCGAGCCTGCTCACAGCACGGCCTTGTTTGGGAAGCACAAGGGGCCCTGGTACCGCCTGCAGCCCGGGCGAGCGTGGCATCCCACCCCACGGGCGACCCCTTCCTCGGGGTGCAGTGGGGAGGGGAGCGAGATGGTGTAGGCTTGGCAGGAAGAGAAGCTGGGTCTGGAATATTCTGGGACATCAGAGGAATACAATAGCATCACATCACGAATACACTTTACTCCTCATCCTTACACCAAAGCGTTTAGTTGTTGGGACTAGAGAGGCTACATCGAGTGGGATGGGCCCATTCCCCGTCTTCGAGGGTCCACATCTGACCGCCTGACGGAACTCCAGGGAGCTGCAAATGCTAGGGGATTGGCCTGTCGTTTCTTCCTTAATCTTTCATCCGTGGGCCTCAGACTCTGATGTTCATAAGAATTATGTATACTCTACGAGATTGAAGGAATTTTGGGGAGGGTTTGCTTTTTTCCTCTCCACTCCTCCCTTTTTTTTAAATTGTCCGGCATCTTCTGGGCTGCCCCGAAACCCGCCTGCACGAGGTCTCTCCGTCTCATGGTGGCGGTCATCGTAATAACCAGGGACCTGCCTGTGTTCTCAGGGCCCTTCCTGACCCATTCAGCAGATGCGGGCCCGAGTGCCCGGCCTTGGAGCTCCTCACCGGCTCACAGTCCCTGTGTAACCCTGGGCGAGTCAATGCACCTCGCAGCTTCCTCGTTCATCAGGTGGGGAGAAAGCTGTCGAGAAGACGGTGCGTGGAGAGTCTGCAGCTGGTGCACAGTACTCTGAGGACACCAGGGGAGGAGGAGGCCCCGGCTAGGAGGAGGGAGGGCCTGCTTGGTTTTGAGGGTGGCTGGGGGTGAGCCTGTGAGGGGTGACCGCATCTCTGCTTGTGCTCGGCAGGAGTGTTTCTTCTCTAGGAGCTCCAGGCTGGCCAGGCCTGGACTCTGTAGGGGTGCTGGTCTCCAGGGACTGTGGCTAGCTGCTGGGTCCGTGTCTATCTAACCCTCCACCAGGGTGAGGGAATCCAAAACAAAGCTGTGGGTAGTGTCAGGGCAGGGAGAGGCGGGAGGGTGCCCTTCCCCTGCAGAGGCCAGCCTCAGGCACTGCTATCCATGGCCTCCAAGAGGCCCCACTCTCCTCGTGGCCCCCCTCTGCCCCACATCATTGTCCTCAGCATACAGCCCATTTCCTGAGGCTGGCCTTCAAGGCTATGGGATCCGGCCCGGCTCCCTGAAGCCATTTCCTGAGCACCTGGGTGTGCCAGGCACCGTGCGAGCCCTCCACGCACATCAGCTTGTGGTCTGCCAGGCAAGGCTCATTCACCTCAGCTGACAGACGAAGAGACCAAGGCTCAGAGAGGTTCAGTAACTTGCTTAGGGCTACATGTCTAGTAAGGAATAGAGCTGGGTCTTCATGGCCCCAATGCTTGTGTGTGCTCTCTCCCTCTTTTCACATGGCTTCTGGAAGCTTCAGCATCTCACTGTTGGTGGTCTCAGACTTCACCTGCTGGCCTCAGCCTGATCACCCCTCCTGCCACCTGGAACTCAGCTTTCCTGCTCCTGCCTTCTGTGGTGCTGATGGCCCAGAGGGACTTGAGGCTTCCCCGCCCCGTTCCACATTCTCTGCTGGTCCTGCCGTCTCAGGAAGCCCCTGGGGCTGCCCTCCCAGCTCAGGGGGCTTTGCTACCTGGCCCACTCCCCCTCATCAACCTTTTCCTCCTACATCCTACATCTCTTCTCAGCTGGGGGTGTGCTGAGAGTCATGGACATGATCCCCACACTTCTGTGCACCACTTCCTGAGGTCTCCTGTACCCTCAGGGCCGTCCTCCATCCATCAGAGCCCGGCTGACCCTGGAAAGGCTCGCCCCGGGCCCTCCCTCCCTGGCATGATGCCGTGGGGGCCTGCTGGTCTCAGCACCACCTAAGGCTTTTGAACAGGGTGTCGGGTGGTCGCTGCACCTCCCGGCTACGTTCCTGTGCTCGTTGGCCACTTGGTCCACGGTTGTCTGAGGGCAGGCCTGTCGCATGCCACTCTCGTCTTTCATGTGTGCTGTCGCGTGTGTCACTCAGCCGTGCCCCCTGTGTCCTGTCTGGGGCCGAGTGGTCTCTGCCTTCCTTACAGGGCTGAGAATAGTGCCTGGAAGAGACAAGTGCTGACCGACTCGGGATGAATGTCCCCTCAGGCACAGGGCTCCCGAGGCAGGGACGGTGCCGAGAACACAGTGATGCTCAGTGCGTTGGTGGCCAGAGGCAATGGCTGCTGTGCTCTGATTCATGCTTCATGTCAGGCCGTGGCCCGGGGGCTTTTAGACATCTCGTGTTTTCTAGTCCTCTCAACACCCCGGTGAGGACAGCTGGTCTGTGGCGTTGTCAGGAGCAGGCTGCATTTGTCCATGTGGGAGTGCAGGAAGGACAGGGTCAGGTACAGCGTGCCCCCAGGCCCTCACTTTGTTCTCGTCTCTCTCTTTGCAGACCGAGGGCACTCGGCTGCAGAAGGATCTTCGGACCTACCTGGCCTCGGTCAAAGGTGAGGGGCAGCTGGGGCTCCTGGCTGGGCCGAGCTGTATGGGATACAGTGAGGGGCCTTCCCCATGTGCAGCTGATGGGTGCAAAACTGGGAAAGGGTGGCAGTGTCTGGGGTGGGGGGGCAAGGGCTGTCAGTGGAGGCCCACATACCTCCTGGGCCTTTGGGGGTGGGGGCAAGGGTCCCCCCGCATCCCGGGCCCCCCATGACCCTGGCTGCAATGTGACCCTTCTGCCCCACAGCCATGCATGAGGCCTCCAAGAAGCTGAATGAGTGTCTGCAGGAGGTGTACGAGCCCGACTGGCCTGGCAGGGACGACGCGAACAAGATCGCCGAGGTGAGCGTGGGGCAGGGGGCCTCGGCCCTGCTCGAAGGGTCCTGCTGGCCTCAGCTGCTGGCCTGTCCCACTCCATCTCGCCCTCTGGCATAAGCCTTTCCTGTTGGGACACTCACATGCTGCGTGTCCTTGGGCAAGTGGCCTCCTGTCTCTGAGGGTCATTTTTCTCCTCTGACGTGCCCTCACACTGAGGTGGGTTGTCGTGAGGTAGTGGACTGTGGCTATTCCTCATCTCTGTGTCGTGTCTCATGACTCGGTCAGCCTCCCTCCCTGACCCCACCAGCCTTGGGCTGATCTGATCCTCACTGTCACCCTGTGAGAGGCCATAGGACAAGAGTTGTTACCCCCCATTTTACAGATGAGGAAACCGAGGTTCTGAGAAGCCACTGAGCTGTGAAATAATGGGGCTTGGGCTGACCCCCAGGGCTTGGGAGGCGATAGCTGAGGGCTGGGGGTGGCCCAGCCCCCTGGTGGTACGCTCACGTGCTCTTCCTCCTTTAGAACAATGACCTGCTCTGGATGGATTTCCACCAGAAGCTGGTGGACCAGGCGCTGCTCACCATGGACACGTACCTGGGCCAGTTCCCTGACATCAAGGTGAGAGGCGCTCTTTGTAGGTCTGCCCGGCTCTGATCAGCAGCCTGGGGAAGGAACTGCAGAGGGAGAGAGGAAGCGGTGGGGGTGCAGCCCAGGGCTGGCTCAGCACTGCGGTGACTCTGCCCTGAAGGCAGCATCCCCTCGCCTGGCAGTTTCTCTCTCCAGGGCTGCTCCTCTGAGGCAGCCCCTCACTCCCTGACTCCCCAGACCTGGGCCTCTCGGAGCTAGGAGCCCTGTACTTTCAGGTCCCTGGGCTACGGAAGGAGACCCCATGGTGTGTGTATGTGTGTGTGGCTGTGTCACTATGGAGAGACCATAGGATTGTATAAGGTGTATTAAGGGGATGTAAGGCCTGGGCGTGTGTGCCTAAAGGTGACCTGTGTTAGGCTGTGTGTGCTTGGAAGGGAATGTGTGTATAGTTGTGTGTGTCACCTCTTATCTGGGTGTATTTGTATGATTGTGTATGTTGAAAAAGCCAGCTGCCTCTGCTGGGCTCAGGTACATGTTAAGATTTTGTCACCGTGCCAGGGTCTCCACTGAGGTAAATGGGACCCTGGGTGCTTCGGCTGTGGAAGCAGAGGTGTCGAGCCCAGGTGGTGACTGTCGTACAGGACCTGATCCCCGGGAGAGGGGGTCATGCTCCATGCTGGCCCACTCAGCCCCCCAGTGCAGATGCCTCAGGCTCCCAAAGGTGCTTTATTGGAAGAAGGGAGGCTGACAGTGGTGGCCCACGAGATGTCTTTAAGGAGCTGAGGGCCAGGCCAGGAAAGAGGCTCATCCCCTGCAGTATTGGCTGGCGGGTACTGACACATGGGTTAATATTGCAAGGAGACGGTTTGACCTCTGTATAGGAAAGGACCACAGAGGACATGGACTACCTTGAAGGGGTGAGCTCTTTGCCACCGGAAGTGTTCAGGCAGCCGTGTCTCAAGCATGCACTAGATGGACTCGTTGAGCCTGGGGTCTACTGTCCTGGGCCCTCCTGCTGCATCCAGGTCCCTGTGCCCACACCCCAGTTTCTCTGGGCCCAGCCTGAGTCAGCATCTCAGCGTGGGTGCCAGGCCCTGTTCAGCCCCTCCTCCTCCGTCTGTCCCCCAGTCACGCATCGCCAAGCGAGGGCGGAAGCTGGTGGACTACGACAGTGCCCGGCACCATTTTGAGTCCCTCCAAACCGCCAAAAAGAAGGATGAAGTGAAAATTGCCAAGGTAAGGTCTTGTGGGCGGCTTCGGGATAGTCTTCAGGGAGATGCGGCAGGGACCCCGGGAGGAGCCTTCCTCTGTGCTGCACTCACTGCGCCTATGCACCCTGGTTCTCACTGCTCCCCTGGCCGGCAGGAATCAACCCCCTTACAGATGGCTTTACAGCTGTGACGAGTCCCAGGTCACAGGGCTGGGGAGGCGGTGGTGCTGGGCCCAGGGCGGAGGAGTGAAAGGATGCCTGGTGAGGGCCCACTTCCGGCCCATCCTGTGGTGCCTGCCCTGGCCCCTGGCTCCTCTGGCCCGTTCTGAGGCCACTTTCCAGAATGAGAGCAGGCCTGGCTTGGCTTCACTGGAATGGCCCCGCCCAGCCTGGCGTGCTCTGAGTGGAATTCTGTCACGGGATCCGATGTGACCCTGTCTCAGCTGGAACAAGCCGGGGGCACAGGGCTTGGGCTGGCCACACTTTCCACATGGCCGGGGACCGAGGGTGGGTCCCCTACGCTGGAGCAGGACCACGCTTGCTGAGTCCCTCTGCCCCTGCTAACGATTCTCACATTTTGCTTTGTAGCTGGAGTTTACCCCCATCTCTGCCCCCACTTGGGGCTTCCCTTCATTCTTTTGGCTTCAGGGGGTTTTCCCCTGCTGTGGGGGCTGGCCCCTGGAGGGGTGGCCAGCCTGTCTGTCACTGCGTTGGGGATGTTTGGACTTGGTGTTTAATATCTGTGCCTCTGTTTCTCTCTCCCCTCTCCGTCCTGTTTCTCCTCTCTCCTTCACCTTGACCTCCCCTCCCCACCCCCAGCCTGTCTCGCTGCTTGAGAAAGCCGCCCCCCAGTGGTGCCAAGGCAAACTGCAGGCTCATCTCGTAGCTCAAACTAACCTGCTCCGAAATCAGGTGACACTGGCTTCTAACCTTGCACGTGCTGGCGCCTTCTGGTCTGTTGTCCTGTCCTTGGCGCTGGGCGCCTGTCTGCCCAGCTGCCCTGTGCCTGGGTGGGGGAGGGCTCAGCCCCTTTCCTGGGTTGGGAGGCAGAGCTGTTTCAGGTGCCTCTGCTGGGAGACCTGAGGTCAAATGTACGAGGCAGAGAGGGGCTGGGGCACTGGTGGACCTAGGATGGGCCCAGGTCTGTTGCTCAGCACCCGGGTCTCTGGTCGTCCTGTGACTCTCTGAAATCCTAGCCTCCAGGAACCCAGGAAAGCCTCGGAGCCGTTTGTCCTCTGTGAGGGCTCCTGCCGGGAGGGGCGTGATGTCACTAGGGCTCCCGACCTGGCATGCATTGTCCTTCAAGCCTCATAAGAACTGGGAGGTTATCCTGAATTTACTGAGGAGACAAACTGGCCCACAGAGGCACAATCTCCTGCCCGGGCTCCCAGAGCAGCCCAGTGGCTGAGTGGGGTCTCACCTGACTCAGGCCCTGGGTCATCATCCTAGCTCCCTGGCCTGGGGCTCCATGTAGGTCGTCATGCCACAGCTGGCCAGACTCTTGGGGACACCTGGGACCTGTGGTCCCCTGGAGGGGACACTGGGAGGGCTTATCAATCTGGTGGGGATGCTGAGACCTGGGGCCTAGAGGGTTGGCTCTTTGGGAGTTTCTTGGAGGGCAGACAGTTCATACCACAGTGGTCCTGGAGGGCTTCCTGGAGGAGGCTCTTTGTACAAAATTCCTGAGTGATCCTGCTACCCTGGCAATACTTCACTCTTCTCAGCCACCTGCCCTCAGAATGGGCCAGGTCCTGGGTGAGCACAGTGTGGCCAGGGACTGCTGGATGCAGCGCTGGGAGAGATGGCCTTGTGGTTTTCTCGCCGGTGAAACTGACGTGACTCCAGCACCCCTTCGTGATTCCAAGGTGGGGCAGGTGACAGAGGCCTGACCCAGGAGGTTGGGTTTCCCCTGGGCAGCTGCTCCGTTTTCTCTGGACCACCTTCTGATGTCATCATCTTCAACCCACATATGTTAAATGCCTGTGATGTGGAGAGCTCTGGGCTCAGCATGGGCTCGTGGCCTAATTTCTTACCTGACCTGCTGCCTGATTTCTTTTAGGCCAAAGCTGTGGGCTGACTTTGGAGGCACTGAGCTGCTGACAGTCTCACACTGCAGTCAGGGTGACCCTGGAGGGTCTGGGGGAGACGGCCTAGGGAGTCTTCAGGGGGCCCGCATCCTCCTCTGCGCAGGAGGTGGAGGCGTGAGGGGCTGGAGTGGCCTGTCCTGCCTGTAGAGTTCAGGACTTCTGGCTGAGGGGGAATGGGCTCACTAACCCAGAGGCAGGGTTTCTGCATAATTTTTCTGAAACGGGTTTGGCAAGAGGCCAGTGAACATTTTTGTTGGGTGGGAGAAGCCCCCCGGAGACTGTGGGGCCTGGGGTGGTGCCTGTGGCTGCTCTTGGGCTCCGAGGATGGGTGTGGTGGGGAGTCCTGCTGGGAGGCCCCCCACCCCCACCCCCCAGGGGAGTGGCAGGGGAGGCTGAGGCCTATGACCTCATCTTTGGATGCTGGGCTGCAGATGTAAGGCCTTTCAGCTGAGTTGGCTTTCCCACTTGGATTCAGTTTTTATTGGAGCATATCCTCCTTCTGTCCCCACCCTGCGCATGCCTGGGTGGGAGCTGGGGAGCCTTCGGAGTTCCCATGGGCAGCTGGCTGGCTGTGAGCTGGGGCACTTGGGGTCCCGGGGCCGCCCTGCCGGCTGACTTGCCTTTGGGGAGACAGTGAAACCTCGTGAGGCTGTGCTCTCTCGAGCTGACCAGTTCCAGGTGTTCCCTGGGCTAGTTCTGAGCTGCTCTCCACACTTGTCACAGTCTCCTCAAACCTGCCTGCAGGACCCTGGTGCCCTGCTGCATGGTGAGTGGGTCATTTTGGGTCTGTGCTCCATGTCCGTCAGCATGGAGCAGAGCCACGGGGCTGCAAGGCCTCCCCCACAGTGATAGCTCTCCTCCCGCTCCCTGCTACCCCGAGTGCTTCTGAAAGAGCCAGAATATGAGGAATGTGACCCAAAGGGAATAAAAGACTCAGGCCCTGACTTCCAGGAACCCTATTCTTTGCAGCTTCGCTGGGATGTGTGAACAGAGCTTGGCACACAGCAATGAGCTGCTGTGCCATCGTTACCGTCATTGTCATGATTGTTCATTTGGGGAGTAGGGACCCCCGTGGTGGGGTGGCGGCTGAATCCTCATGGAGAGGTGGTCTCTGTGGGTACAGGAGCTGGGGTGGTCCAGGTGGGTTCCTGAGGGACATGGGACTTGACCCAGACTCTGCCGTTGAGTGGGAGGGAGGTGTGTATGAGTGTGAGGCGTGCGAGGCTGGTCGTGTGGGAGTCACTCACTTGTGGGTTCTACAAACCGTCGTTAGCAGCCCCCGCCCAGGCACTGGGATGCTCAGAGGAGGAGGGCAGGGATGGCCTGGCTGTGGCCTAGAGGGCGCGCCAGGTCTGGGCCATTCCAGGAGCAGCCCACATGCGTGTTTAGGGAGACATTTTTTTTTTCTATTCTACCTTTAATTTTTAAATTAGATTTTAAAAAGTTAGGCAAGGAGCTCATGCTCACTCTAGCAAGTTCCAACAACCTGGAGGTAATTGTATAGTCAGGAGCGATGGTGGCCCGTCTCTCCTCTAGTCCCACCCCCAAGTCACCACAGCTTGGCCTGGGGGGCGCAGTGGGGTAGGGGCTGACTTGGGCTCATCCTGGTGCCTGGAACTGGATGGGACAGCTGGGTGGGCTGGGGGAAATCGTGTGCTTTGTGGCAGTTTGGCGTTCAGGCCAGTTGGCTGCCTTTGCCAGAAGGCCTGAGAACGTGAGGCTGCTGGTGGGAAGTTTTCTGCTGGGCGCGGCCCACCACGTTCCAGGGCTGTGACTCAGACCCTGAATCCAAGTCACCTCCTTGCATCACTGTTTCCAGAACGAGCTAGCCCCTTCTCTGGCCGGGGCCTGTGACTCACACTACCCTTGCCTTGCCCTCCCTCCGCCTTCAGAGAGGGGCATCTGCTGCTCCCCAAATTCTTCTGCTCTGTGATGGGGCCTTAGCGCCACCGCCTGGTGGGCCTGAGCAGGCCTGGAGGGCGCAGGGCCCGCGCTGGGGAAGGCATGAAGGCCTTTGGAGGGGGCAAAGGCACCTTGCCCAGCAGCCCATCTCCCTCCTCCCCAGGCCCTTCCCTCTTGGGGGGACAGGGCACAGAGTGGGGGTGGGGGCTGGGGGTGGTGCAAGGAAAGCCTCTCCCAGGGAAGTGAAATGCAGGCTGGTGGCTGAGGCTGAATAGGAGCCACCTTGAGAAAGGGGCTCAGGAATACTCAGGAGAGACAGCAAGGCCCAGAGAGCCGGGCAGCAGGCTGACACTTAGCCTGAGAGGGGTTCACGTGTGAGTGGGCAGGGCCCCCACCTGGCTGGTTCTAGGTCTGCCTTTGACCCCTTCCGGTGCCCCAGCCCCCTGGGCCCCTTGTCTCTTGCCTTCTTGTTGTGCCCTGTTCACCCCTCGCCTCCCTTGTGGCCCACCTGGGCCAGATAGGGGGGTCTCCCTCTTGCCATGGCTGCTCTGCCTGCCCTGTTCCCGGAGTAGCCCCTGCGGGCCTGGCCGCAGGGGCTCTAGGGGCTGCTTGAGAGGTCTTCCCCTGGCATCCACATCCAGTTCAGTCTCCGCCTTCCCCAGAGCCCTGGTCCCAGGGAGGGAGGTTGGGTGGCACAGGTCTTGGGGGTGGGCCTGGCCTGGCCTGGGCTGGCTGGGGGAGAGGCTCAGCAGAGGGGAATGACTGTCTTGCCCCGCAGGCTGAGGAGGAGCTCATCAAAGCCCAGAAGGTGTTTGAGGAGATGAATGTGGATCTGCAGGAGGAGCTGCCGTCCCTGTGGAACAGGTGAGGGCCAGAAGGGGGCAGGGCTGAGCCTCGACCTCCCTCTCCAGGCGGCATGACTGTGTCACGCGTGTCTGTCCTCAGGCCCCATGCCCTCAGGTCTGTGTCTCTGGTGAGGGCGGAGGTGTATCGGCTGTGTGGCTCTCCTGGGCTGCCCGCCCTGACCTGTGTGTTCACCTTGCCCTTCTCCTTCCCTCCCCCTACAGCCGTGTAGGTTTCTATGTCAACACGTTTCAGAGCATTGCGGGCCTGGAGGAGAACTTCCACAAGGAGATGAGTAAGGTAGGCCCTGCTTACCTGTGGGCCTCAGGGCCTCCGCCGTGCTCCACCCTGCCGAGGGCCAGGGTCAGAGGCATGGAGGGGGGCAGGCCTAGCTCCCTCTTCCCTGCTGGGGTTTGGCACACACCAGTGACCCTCTGGGCCCTGGGGAGGAGCTGCCTAGCCCCTACCCTCAAGGAACAGAGTCTGGGCCCACTGGGAGCTGCTAGGTGTGTTGGGGAGGCTGTGAGAGGGGCCCATGGGCCTAGTCCCGGCCCCCTCCCTGCTCCCAAACCTATTCTCCTTGCCTGGGCAGAGCCAGCCCACCTCAAATAGTAAAAGTGTTCTCAGGCAGCCTTGGCCAAGGGAGCTCAGTGTCGGAAAATGGTGGCGGTTTCCCAATTTGTAGGCAAATAATAAATAAATTGCTAGAATTTTCTCAAGTTTTAATTTTTTCCCATGTTTCCTAAGACATTGAAACAAGTCTGCATTATCTACCAGAACCTGGTATAACAAGGGATCTGATTAGCTTAAATTCCTCTGTTGTGTTTTTTTCATTTTAATTTAACTGGCAGTTAAACTGTAAAGCTGAGTTAGAGAAACCCAGTGTTGGCAGCCCCCTCCCTCTGGGCAGTGGGTGGGTCTGATTCTGTCTCTTGGGCCCAGAGGAATGAAGTGATAGTGGTGGATTCCAGGCCCAGGGCAGGAAGAGGAAAAGCCAACTCAGGCCTCTCCTGAGTCAGTACCGTCAGTACTGCGTTTTAGGCTTTCCTTTTTCTTCCTACTTTTTCTTCTTTCCTTCAGATGTTTGAGGCAACTTCAGAAAAATTTAAGAAACAAACAGAAGGAGGTATTTTGGGGAAGGAAACATTTAAGTAAAATGGGAGGAAAATTCAGCTCTGAGCTTCCTGGTGGTCAAAGCAAAGAGTGAAATAGTCTCAGTAATGAGAATCACTATGTGCATAGGATAAACCTCATCTCTTGCCTGCTTTTGATGAAATCTCTGGCCTGAAAGCATCTTGGCAAATGACTTTAATGATAAGGATCAACAGTTAGTTAGCAAAAAAATTAAAAAAAAAATTTGAAAACAGTACAAGCTCTCTGTGGCATTTTAGGAAATACCTACAAGTAGAAAGAAAAGATGGTCCCCGGAAACGGTAATTGTTAGCAGTGCAGCCCACTTCCTCCTCCGTTTCTCCTCTTGGTTTTTCTGGGTTTGGAGTGCCGGTTGCCAGCTCCCACTGATGGGGAAAGAAGAGCTTGTTCCTGGTAGGGGCAGGGGTGCAGGGGAGGAGCTGCGGCACGGGGAGGAGCAGGGATGTTACTGGGGAGAATGGGGCTGTTTGGTGCCCCCCCCCCCCACCTGCTTGCTATCCTCTCTGCAGCTCAACCAGAACCTCAACGACGTGCTGGTCAGCCTGGAGAAACAGCACGGGAGCAACACCTTCACGGTGAAGGCCCAGCCCAGGTATGTGGCGCCCACTGCCCTCCAGCCTGGGTGTGGGGAGGTGTGGTCAGGGGTGGGCGCCTGGTGTTCGCTGACTCATGCAAGGTCGGGCCAGGCTTGTCCTCCTGGTCCCCCTGGGATGGGCCTCTCTGGCTGGCCTCCCTGTGCTCAGGGGAGGAGGGGAGGGCATCTGTTCAGCAGGAGCAGTCAGGGTGCCTGCTCAGCTTTGGTGGTAGTGGGGCGGGGAGCAAATGATTCACAGGGGTGGAGGCTTCTGGAAAGTGAGCCATCCTTTCAGAGCAGAGAGGTAGTGCCACCTTTTCCCTCTCCTGCTCCTGGGAAGCCCAAGGCCCTGGAAGGCAGCATTCTGCACTCTGCAAAGCCGGCCTTGTTCCTGTCCTCCGTCTGGCCTGTTGGGGGGGCCTCCTGCTTCGAGGAGATCCCTGTTTCCTGAGGGGAAGCCGTGAGGGAGGAGGGGAAGTGCCCTGCCCTCTGGCTGTGGCTCATGGGAAGCAATAGCCAGTCGGGGTTCCCCCTCCTTTGCGGCGTGCAGCCTTGCACAGTGTGGAGAGCGCCCGTGAAGCCGCTTTCCTCGTCTGTAAGGCGGGGTGATTCGATCTGCTTCTCGGGGCACTTGGGGTACTGCCTAGGACTGAGAAGATATTCAGTGAATGTTACTGCTCCTCTTCGCCCCTGAAAATATGTGATGAGAGAGGGGCCCTGAGGGCAAGAGCACCGCGGTGGGGGGTAGGGCGGAGGGATAAAGGCCAGGAGGCGGTTCCCAGGTCCCTGCAGGGAGAAATGCCCCCCGCCTCGCGCTGCACCTGCCTGGCCTGGAGGGAAGGGTGGGGAGTCCGGGATGGATGAGGAGGGTGGTGAGTGGTGACCGTCCTGGGCCTGGACTGTGGACCAGGCTTCCTGCGATGAGGGGCAGGTCTGAGGGGAGAGGCAGGGAAGTGGAGCCTCGTGAGCCTCCTTTACACCATAGTGGCCCATTGTGCGGCCTGGTTGCCTCCTCTCCCAGGGTCCCACACTGGCCACCTGACCCCTACTCCTTCCTGGTACTCCAAGCCCTGGGCTCTCCTGGGCTGGACCACAGGCAGGGCGGCTGCTGGCCAGCCTCCTGCAGCTCCCAGGCTGTTTCAGAGCAGCTCCCTCTTCTGCTCGTTTTGCCAGCACCACCCCAGGGCACCTGACAGCATGCCAGGCCAGCAGGGTCCCCGGATGGAAGGATGCGGCTGAGGGCAGGCTCAGGCCCTCTTCGTGGCCTCGGGTGGTGGGGGAGGCCTTGCCCGTTTGCTGTCCTCTCAGCAGAGGGCTTGCTGATGAGGGAAGGGAACAGGCCAGCCACGAGTCTGGCATTTCCCCCAAATGAAGGGCTCCGCGTCCCGTCCGTCCCCACAGAAAGAAAACTAAACTGTTCTCGCGGCTGCGCAGAAAGAAGAACAGGTACTGCAGTGCGTGCTGCGTCGGGGGCCTGGGAGCCAGCGCGGGCCCCGCCCCGTGCATGCGCCTAGCCCTCGCTCCTCCTAGGGCGCCACTAACCCCTAACCTGCCTTCCTGTGTGCCGTGCTGCGGCAGGGCGGGGGGCGGAGGGTGGCCCGGCTGCGCAGTGTGGTGTGCGGGTTGGGCAGCACGGGGGGGGGGCGGCGGGCGGACAGCCGAGCTTAGGTCAGCACGGGCCTCTCTGCACCACCGTGTCCAACGGGCTGCGGCCGGAGCGGGAGCATCGACAGGTGGGGAATGTTGCCAGGGAGGCCTGGGGAGCTCAGGGAAACAGATACTGCAGCACCGTGGGAGTTTTTAAAAACTACGTGTGTGTGCATACTGTTATGTATGCAGTCAAGCACCGCATAACGACGCTTCAGTCGGTGGTGGACCGCGAGTGTGACGCAGGTCCCATAAGATTGGTACCACACAGCCTGGGTGTCTACAGGCTCTACCATTATGGTTTGTGTAAGTGCACCCTGTGATGTTTGCACGACGACGCCTGTCTCTGAACATATCTCCGTCGTTAAGTGACGCGTGACTGTATTCTTTAAGGAAGCAAATACATTCCCGGAAAACACATTCAGTAAAGAGGAGAAGATACTAGCCATGTCTCTCACACATCTGTCCCATCGTGTAGACCCCCCCACCCAGGTGACGTGGTCACTGGTTTCTTTTGTTTCCTTCTAGACCTGCCCTGTCACCACAGTACCCCTCACCTCTTGTAGCTGTCAAGCACTTGCAATGTGGCCGGTGTGACTGAGGAGCTGAATTTTTGATTTCCTTTAAGAATAAATTGAACAGCACCTGTGGCTAGTGTCGAGTCTTGGTCGGCACCTGGCCTAGTGTTTCTTTATGCAGGTGCAAATACAGGTCTTTACTTTCTGCCCCGTTTGTACCCACGTGGCGGGTTATGCATACATTTGCCCTTGTTTTCAGTTCTGTGCAGTCTGGCCTGGAGACCTCACCCTCTCATGCGTGCCTGCCGCTCCCCTGCCCTGAAGGCGGCCTTTAGTCACCCTCCTGCCCATGGCCTCTGGGTGGTCTCCCATGCTTTCCACAGAAGGGCCTGTGGCAGCATAGGTGCAGAGACAGTGGCAGCGTGGTGTGGACAGGCAGTGGGGGCCTGCGGGGTGGGGTGGGGCTGTGGTTGACCTGGTGTGAGTGGGTGGACAGGCAGGCGGACAGCCCGGAGGCCTTTGGGGTCCAGCTGAGCGCTGGGGCCGACCCTGGGCACAGGGGCTGCTGCGTGACGTGTGGGAGGAGACTCACTTTGCTTCTAGGATGTTTGGCTTTCTGGTGCTGTGGCGCTCGGCCCCTCAGCGGGAGGCCGGGGGAGCCCGACCGAGGCCTTTGGGGCGGCTCCCCTGGGGACCGCAGGCCTCCAGCTCAGAGTTCCACCTTGAGCTGTCCCTATCTCCAAAGCAGGCCCCCGCTGTGGTCTCATGCCGCCTCCCTTCATTTCCACCCATTCTCATGCACAGATACATGTGGTTTCACACGTGGACGCACGAGGACACACACTCATGCACACGTGGCCATCCCATTTTCACAGTGGATCTGTGTGGACACATCTACACCTGCAGTTTCACACACTGATCTACGTGGACACGCTCATACACATGTGCACACACTTTCACACATGGATCCTGGGGCATCTGCACGTGCACACACCCAGTCACACACACACCTGTGTATGTGCACATTCCCTCTCCTATGCCATGAGCTCCCTCCATTGGGCTCCCTCTTCTGTCTTGCCTCCACAGTGACAACGCCCCTGCAAAAGGGAACAAGAGCCCTTCGCCTCCGCCAGATGGCTCCCCTGCTGCCACCCCTGAGATTAGAGTCAACCATGAGCCCGAGCCGGCCAGCGTGGCAACACCCGGGGCTGCCCTCCCCAAGTCCCCGTCTCAGGTAGGCACCACGTCCCAGTGGCCTGTTTCCTCCCGCCCTTCTTCCTCCTGCTTTGCTTCCCAGTCCTCCGTCCTCTGCCTGGGCCTGGTCCTCGGTCTCCCTTGTGCCTGCCTGGCCCAGGGTCACTTTAGCGGCCTCGGCCTCCTGTGGGGGCATCTGTGACTGTGCATCCCTCTTCCCCACCGCAGTGCCCTCCCTGGCCTCTCTCCTTGGCCTTTCGGGCTACTTGGCTGTCTCCGTCTTCCTTTCCTCCTGAGACACAGGCTCTGGGGCCCTCAGCCCAGAGCATCTCGAGTCCTCAGAGACAACTGTCTTTGTCTCTTCCTTGCTTTCTCTCTTGCATGGAGCCATGCAGGACGTTTATTTTTTTGTTGTTTTTCTTTGTGTGTGTGAGGAAGATCAGCCCTGAGCTAACATCCGATGCCGATCCTCCTCTTTTTGCTGAGGAAGACTGGCCCTGGGCTAACATCTGTGCCCATCTTCCTCCACTTTATATGGGACGCCACCACAGCATGGCCTGACAAGCAGTGCGTCAGTGCGTGCCCGGGATCCGAACCTGCGAACTCCGGGCCACTGAAGTGGAGCACGTGCACTTAACCACTGCGCCACGGGGCCGGCCCGCATGCAGGACATTTAAAGGGACAGCAGGAGAAAGGGCTCAGTGAGGAGAGTGTGAGGTGGCCAAGGGGCACAGGCTCTGAGCTTCTGGACGGCCCCCTCCTGGAGAAGCCTGGCTCCGTGCCCCCCCAGGTTTCTCCAGGTGTCTGCAGCGTCCCCGGGAGCTGGAAAGGGCGGGAGGAGGACGGCGTCCACTGTGCAGCCCTGTCGGCCCTCTTAGTCTTTCCCTAGCGTTGGCTTCTGGCAGGGGCTCTGTTGGTTTTAGGCCATCACCTGGTCGACAGCTGATTAGGATAACGACGTTAGGAGCAGTGACGAGAGCCCACACGCGCATAGCGCTGACTCTGGGCCTGACTGTGCCCGCGCTGTCCGCGTTTTCATTCCTTGAATCCTGACGACCACCCTGAGGCAGGTGCTGTCATGTCCAGCCCACAAGTGAGGGAACCCAGGCTTGGGGGCTTGCATGACTTGCCTGAGGTCCCCCCCATGTGGGCAGGTCCTCTCCTGGCTCCATGCCAGCCTCCACAGGTGATGGTCTCCACAGGTGACAGCAGAGGCTGAGCGGGGGGCCCCTCCAGCGGGAGGAGGAGAGAGGGGTCTGGGCGAAGGCGAGCAGGGGCTGGAGGGCAGACTGGTTGCCTGGGCTGTTTCTCAGCGACCGTTTCTCTCTCCAGCCTTCTCACCCAGGTGGTGGGAGCGGCCCTGGGTGGCCTGGGCAGGCCACTTCCTTCTTTTTTCCTTCTTTTCTGCTCTCTTCTCTCTTTCTCTCTTGTTCCGCTCCTCTCCCCTCCCCTCCCCTTTCTTCCTTATCTTTGCACAGTGTTCCTGGACCTCCTGCCTCACTCTCCCCCTCAGGGGGCCGTGGGGTCCTGGCCTCTGTGTCTTGGGGAGCAGTGACTCTTCTTGGTTTGTCTTTCTCAGTTGTCTGGGTGGGACCGTGGCCTGGGTGTGACTAACCATGGCTTTGTCTCTGTCTGTCTGCCCCACCCCGCCCCACGCTCCACTGTGCCTCCCCATGCGGCCCCCTCACCCGCTGCCGACCCACAGCTCCGGAAAGGCCCACCAGTCCCTCCGCCTCCCAAACACACCCCGTCCAAGGAGGTCAAGCAGGAACAGATCCTCAGCCTGTTTGACGACACGTTTGTCCCTGAGATCAGCGTGACCACCCCCTCCCAGGTCAGCCGCGGCCGCCGCGGCCCAGGTCTCTCCCCTCCTCTTGCTTCCTCGGGGGGTGCATGGCCTTCCCTCTTCATCCCATGCTCTGGGCCTCTGCCTCAAGAGCCAGGAATCTGGCTGGAGAGATTGACCCTGAGCCTCCGTCTCGCTCACCCATCCATCCATCCCTCCATCATCTTTCATCCATCTCTGAGCATGTACTGTGGCCAGACTCAGGCACACAGGTGAACGGTCCTAGTGGAGACGGTCAGCTCAACAATGGCCTTGCGGTTCCATTGATGCTATGGCCGAAAGGGGCAGTGAACATGGAGGACCTGGGCAAGCCAGGAAGGCTTCTTGGAGCAGGTGGCTACGAGCAGACACAGTGCTTTAGCCAGAGACAGCGGCTTGTGCATAGGCCAGGAGGGGTGAGAGAGGGCCTTTGGGACTTCTGAGAGTTCAGTGTGTCGGGAGAGTGCCACCGTGGGAGGCAGGGAGAGCAGGTGGCAGGGGCACAGCTGGGAAGGCTCGGGAATGTCTGGCCAAGGCAGCTCGACCAGCTCCCAGAGCTGCTGGCAGCCTGTGGAGGTGGAGTGGTGGCTGGGCTGCAAAGCAGAGCTGCTGCTTGTAAATGCCCTAAGAGGCATGTAATGCCCGTCACAGATGGACAGAAGCAGGGCCGAGCAGGGAAAGTGACCATGGTGGCCCTGGAGCGGGCTGCACACTGTCAGATCAGCTCTCAGGGGCCACTGTGTGCTAAATGCTCTGAGCCTGGTCTCTAGGCCTCACAGCCAGGGCCCTTTCCACGTGGGGCCTCACCTTTTGTGCGGGCTGGCTCATCCCAGGTGGGCCCGAGTTGGAGCGCACCATGGGGTCTCTGGGCTCTGCTTTCCGCAGGCTCCTTTGCACAAGCCTAGAGGCCTGGAGGTGAGGGCAGGGCCAGAGGGGGTGAGCGTGGAGGGAGAGGCCGCTGGGAACTGAGGACAGGGGTCTCTGCTAAGGGGGCCTAGGGGTGAGTGGGCTTCAAGCCCCCAGGGGAGGACTTTGGGTTAGAACTAGAAACTTTCAGTACAGGCACTAGGTGGGGGATGATGGGGAGCCCTGGCTCAGGGCCGGAGGCGTGGGAGCCCCTCTCTGTAGAAGGTGGCGGAGGCTGGCTGCAGTGCTCCTGGAGCGGGGGGAGACCTCCAGGGCAGCTTGCTGCTGGGATGCTCTCCAGCTCTTGAGGGTGCACAAGGGAGACGGGGTGACCAAGAGCTAGTCAACACTGAGCAGGGGGAGGTGCCAGCAACTTACCTACACGACCTTGTTGGGTTTTCAGCCACCCTCTGGGAGGGGGTTGTCCCCAGTGAACAGGGGAGGAACCTGTGGGCCTGACTTGCGGCCAGACTGCCCGCACTGAGTGTCCTTCCACGCTCATCGCATGCCTCCCCTGCTGCCTCTTCCATCCACTCAGGGAACCGGGTCTCTGCCTGGGGCCGGGGCGGGAGTGTACACTGTGGGTGCTGTTGCGTGGGGCCGGGGGGGGGTACACTGTGGGTGCTGTTGCCTGGGGCCGGGGCGGGAGTGTACACCGTGGGTGCTGTTGCCCGGGGCCGGGGTGGGAGTGTACACCGTGGGTGCTGTTGCCCGGAGCCGGGGCGGGTTGGTCCCCGGCCACGATGCTGTGCTAACAGGGCTGCTCTGCTGGGCTGTGGTGAGTAGCCTGTGTCCTGTGCCGAAGGACAGTCCCTGTCCTGCGTGATGGGGAGGCTGGCCTGCTGGGAGGTGGGGCAGGGAGGACGTGGTCTGCCCTTTGGCCTGGTGATCCTGTCCCGTTGGATTATGATGGGGCAGCTGTCTGGACTTGGCTAACTTCTGAGAAGGGGTGGGTTGTGGGGCTCCTTGGAGGAGAGAAATGCTCCAGGTGGGAGGGCACCTGGAGGCCATGCACTCATGTGTCCTGAGCACTCAGTCCCTTAGAGACGGCTCGATTATGGGGACGGAGCAGTGACCTCCCTCCCCCAGGCTCATCAGACAGGGCTCTACCTAAAGGAAAGTCAGGGGCTGGGGGTGAGCCTGGGGCAGGGGCTTGGGGACTGGGGCCCCCTGTCCAGGAAGTGGGTCTGCTTGCCCTGGGCTCTCTGACCTCTGTATTTGGTCCAGCGTGGATGCCTTGTCCCCTGAGCTGCCAGACAGCTGGCGCCAAGCATTCTCAGGACTGAGGGTCTTGGGTCTCTCCCGACAGGGCGCAGCTCAGCTGTGAAGGCCTCTCTGGGGAGCCCCTCCCTGCACTCCCAGGTCTCGGCTCCTTCTTGATGGAGGGCCTCGGGTGGAGGCAGGCTGCAGGCACTCGCTGTCAGTGCTGGGCGCCCATCAGGGCGGACAGAGACGGGAAGCTGGGCTCACCTGGGCTTGTGGGGTTGCGGCCCTCCCAGCACTGCATGAGGGTGGGGGACGAGGCCCCGGGGCCGAGCCAGCTCTCCTCTAGGACCTGGGCAGTCCTCCATGGCCTCCACAGGGAAACCCCACGTTCAAGATGGAGGCAGCAGTTGAGCAAGCCCCTCATAGTAGGGCAGCGTGTCCCCTGGGCACTGTGCTGACCCTGCCCCCCGGCCTGCTTGCGGGCAGCCCTGGGAAAGACCCTTTTTTCTCCTGATTGCCTGGCCCAGCTTACGGTGGGGCCAGCTTCTCACAGCGTGAACGCCCCACCCCCCCCACCAGTCTCCTGGGGCCATGCCTGCTACGTGCACATTCCTGGGCTGCACCCAGACCCCTGAATGGGGATCTCTGCGGGTGGCTGGGAGCAGGATCTGCAGTTTGAACACAGGCCCCCCAGGCGTTGAGGATGCCCACGTGTAAGACTGGGCCTCTAGGCAATGTGTGCTGCCTCAGCCCTGTCCTTGCTCCCTGGAGCTGGCTGGTGGGTAGGTGTCACCACAGAGTGACCTGTTTGTATGGGGTGATAAGGGGAGGCCTGTGCCTGTCCTGGAGGCCCTCCAGGTGAGGGGGACCAAACGTGGTCTTGTCCAGCACATCTGTGGCCTGTGCTGCTTCTGCAGAGGGGTGAGGCCGGGGGAGCTGTGGGCCCAGAGAGCCGGGAAGAGGCACGGGCCCAGGGAGGCCTCTGTCAGCCTGCAGAACGAGGCAGACGAGAGTTGGGGGCTTGGCGTTGGGCGGGCGGTTGGCTGTGGCCGATGTCTGAGGTGGCCTCCAGGTATCGTCCTTGTGTGTGTGAGCTTGTGCCAGGGTCTGTGGCGTGGGCAGTGCTCCTTTGTGTGTGAGGTGGACATGTCCATGAGCGTGAGCACCTGCTGTGTGTACCCGCATCGGCTGTCCCTGCCTGTCACTAACTGCCTTCCTCCTCTGCCGCTGCTGCCAAGTTTGAGGCCCCGGGGCCTTTCTCGGAGCAGGCCAGTCTGCTGGACCTGGACTTTGACCCTCTCCCACCTGTGGCAAGCCCCATGAAGGTGCCCACGCCCTCTGGTCAGGTTGGTCTGAGCCCACCACTGCCCACCGGCCCAGCGGCCTCCAGGGCACCAGGCCCTGGGCTTGTGTCTGCCCACTGGCCATGCAGGCCTGTGTAGGTCCAGGCCTTTGGGAGTCCTGGGGTCACCAGGCTCTCCTCCCACTCACGCCCTGGCCCCTGGCTCTTATCGCCTCCTCTGGTCCTGACTGTGGGAAGGCAAGAGAGCAGTGGGAGGACCCTGAGGAGGGGGCCAGCTGAACACTTGCCTGGCAGGTGACAGTCCGTCTCAGCACCCTGCCCCTCTCCTGGCAGCACCGTGTTTGGGTGCTCCCTGGCCTGGGGTCTCAGCCCCCTAAGCCGTGTCCAGGACTGGGCCTCTGCAGACCTCAGAGCCCAGCTGCATGCCTGCTGGGCTCGAGGGCCCTGGGGCGGGTGTGGGGTGGGGCTCACTGGGGAATGCTTGCCCACCCCCCCGTCTCTAACCTCTGTGCTGACTCTGTCCTTCTCCCCCTCTGCTGCGCTCAGCCAATTCCGTGGGACCTCTGGGAGGTAAGCCGTGTTTGCTCTGTGCCCACCCCCGCGGGGAGCCGCTCTGCTGTGTGTGCCGGGCCCACCCCGGCGTGTCCTGCACCTTGATGGTTCTCAGGTGCACGCACACACACAGGGAGCTGGCTGCAGCTGCCTTGTCTCCAGCTGTTCTGCTGCTTCCCCTTCTGTGGACACACCATGCCCTCAGCCAGGCCCCGGGGAAAGGGGCTCCTGGGTTTAGCCTGAGAAGAGGGTCCTCTGTGGTTGGGCCCAGTTATCAGGGCCTGCAAGTGGCCTAGACAGTGACCAGCTGTCATCCAGGATGGAAAGAGTGTCCTCATGCTGGGCCGAGGCCTGTGGGGCAGGAGGGCCTTGGAGTGGAGGGGCCTTGCCCTGGAGGAGCTTTCTGTCAGCAGAGGCCCCACGGGCAGTGGCATCGGGGGCCTGGTGGGACAAAGGAGAGAGGGAGGGATGACAGGAGAGGCAGCAAAGGCAGGGTGAGGCCAGGTGCCTGTATGTGAGCAGGGCCTGCCTGGCAGGTGTCGTCATCACCTGGTGGCCTGGACACAGGCTCGGGGGGCATGGGACTTGCCCAGTGACTGGTGACAGAGCTCCTGCAGGAGTATGGGGCGCTGGTGTGAAGGTGGCAGCAGCCCAGGCTCCTGGGAGCTCAGACAAGAAAGTTCCACGATAGTCCTTCACTCTGGAGGAGGCCAGAGAAGGCGGGTGCGAGCGAGCAGAGCCATTCTGACAAGGGAACTTCAGTGGGTGCTGAGCCGAGGGTGGCACCTTCTCACCTGCCCATCCCCTTGGCAGTGGTAGGAGTGAAGAGACGGGAATGGGCGTCTCCTCAGGGGTCTGCGTCTGCCCCTGCTGGGCTCTGGCCAGGCTGCCTGCCGCAGGCACCCCCACCTTCCCCTTTGCCAACGCTAGGTGGCTCATGACTGTCTTCTCTTGTTTCGTGCCCCTGTCCAACACCTTCTCCTCCCTGGTCTCCTCCCTCCCGCCCTGTTCTCCCTGGTGGCCCCTCACTAGCCCACAGAGAATCCAGCTGGCAGCCTGCCTTCCAGGGAGCCCAGTGCTGCCGAGGGCACCTTTGCTGTGGCCTGGCCCAGCCCGACGGCCGAGCCAAGGCCTGTCCAAGTAAGTGCCCACCTGCCAGCCCCTCATCAGTCCCCAGTCTCTGGGGGTGTAGCATGGAGGAAGAGCCCAGAGGAGGGGGCACAGGATGGACAAGGCCACCATGGGCCTGAGGGTGAGGCCAGGGCCATGAACCAGGAGGCCCTAGGACTGGGCTTGTCACTCGTGCTGGGGTTGGCTGGGGTCATATCAGCCCCTCTTCCACCTGCCAGCCCCACCCCAGCCCCCCCGTAGTGGGAGGGAGGAGCATTTAGAGCACCTACTGGTTTATGGCAAGCACTTTCCAGAATTTTCTCCTTTAATCTTCACCCTAACCTACACATCTTCCCCCTGTACAAATGAGGAAACGGGGGCTAGGAAGGTTGAGTGATTGCTCCCTGAGCTCGGAAGTGGCCGAGTTTCAGTGTTGGCCCAGGTCAGCCTGACCGTGGCTGCAGCGTGCACTTTGTCTTGCCCCCACCATCGATCGTGCCCGGCACTGCTGTTCCCTCCTCCGGGAGTAGGCCTCCAGGGCTGGGATGGGCGCATGCTGCTCCCCCAGCACAGGGTGTCTGCTGGCTCAGCAGACCCCTGCCAACCCGTAAGGGGCGCGCTGGGCCAGGTGGGTGGGAAGAAGTTGAGGCTTGGCCAGGTCTTGGGCTTAGAGGGCAGGGCCTGTGAGGGAGGGTCGAAGTGGCACCCAGAGGCCTGTGCTGGGCTTCTCAGCGGCACGTCACTCAGCGATCTTGTGCCTGCTAGCACTTTCTTCCAGCTGCTTCCCGAGCCCGGGACCTGCCTTTCCTCCAGGGGCTCCCTGACCTGTGCAGAGGCACCGGCCAGCTCTTGCCACTCGGGATGCTGCCCTCTGTGACCCCTTTCCCTGTCCTGGTTGTGGTGTGCGAACTGTGACTCCATGCTGGCATTTATATTGCAGCCATCAGAGGCCACGGAGGTGGCGGGTGGGACCCAACCTGCGGCTGGAGCCCAGGAGCCTGGGGAGACGGCGGCAAGTGAAGCAGCTTCCGTAAGATGACAGGGACCAAGGCCCTGTCTTTTCCTCCCTGCTGTCTGTCCGTCTGTCCCCCCGCCCGCGGCTCCCAGCCCTGTGTCTAGCCTGCGCTCCTGGCTCTGTGCTGGTCCCAGTCGTGGTTCCTGTTGAGGAACCTGGAGGCAGGCTGGTCTGGTGTGGCCCTCCCTTCCCTGTCCCCATGGCCCGCCTTCTTGGGCCCACCGCCCCCAGGCTGACCTGTGCTCCCTCCCCAGAGCTCTCTGCCTGCCGTTGTGGTGGAGACCTTCTCTGCAACTGTGAACGGCACTGTGGAGGGTGGCAGCACGGCGGGGCGCTTGGACCTGCCCCCGGGCTTCATGTTCAAGGTGAGCCCAGGCTAGCTGACCCTCCAGCCTCTGACTGCCGCTGTCCCACAGTGCCCTGGGGGTGGGGCACCCCTTTCACAGATGAGGACCCTGAGCCATGTGGTTGGCCCCAAGTTGGCCTGCCCCTAATACCCCTGCTGTCCAGTTGGCGAGGTGGCGCCTGAGCCCTGGTCCCACTGCTGTCACGGGGTCCTGGTCGCCATGTTGACACATTACCCCAGAGCCACCATAAGGCCAGCAGGAGGGACCCACAGCCTTTGAGGGAAGGGTGTCCAGCTCTCCCCAACCCCTGCAGGTGCAGGCCCAGCATGACTACACGGCCACCGACACAGACGAGCTGCAGCTCAAAGCTGGTGATGTGGTGCTGGTGATCCCCTTCCAGAACCCCGAGGAGCAGGTGAGGCCCGGGTTCTAGGCTGGGCCAGCTGTGGCGGGGAGCGGCCAGCAGGGGGCAGCAGAGCCCCGCAGCCGAGACCAGCGGCCTCTCCCTGTCCCTCCTCCCTTTCTCTGTAATCCCTTTTTCTCTTCCCTTGCCTCTCTGGTCTCTCTCCCTTTCCTTCGGCCCGTCTCCTGTCGTCACATGTCCCCTACTGTTGGGCTCTCCTGCCTGTCTCTCTCTCAGTCTCTCACTCTCTTTCTTCCTGGAGCTCTGTCTGCTCTCCTTCTCCCTCCCTCCTTTCCTCCTGCGCTGTCTGCCTTTCTCTCATCCAAGTTTCTTTCTTCCCTTCTCCCTTCCCTGTCCCCCAGGTCCCCTCCAAGGACAGGATCCCTGGCTGCCCCTCCATGAACCCTCCGCCAAGGGGCCTGCTCTGCAGCTCACATTGGGCTTACGTGGGCCCTGCGTGCCGCCCTGTCCAGGCTGGCCCTGCCCCTGTCCACACAGGGACAGCGTGTGGCCTCTGGCAGGACCCTGAATGCTCCTAGCCGTGTCCCCAGCTGTTTCTCACTCCAGATGCTTTCCAGACCCTTCTCCTGCTGTAGCTTCTCCTTGGTGGTTAATGTCCTCAGAGTGGGCTTCCGCTGGGCCTGGGGCTGGCGCCGAGCGAGGCAGAACTGCCCTCCTAGGTTTGGACAGCTGCTTCACGCACGTAGGCGCGCCCCCTCAGCAGGAGCCTCACTGTGGGTGTCGAGTGAGCGTTTGTGGGGTGTCAGTGGGGTGGGAGTGCCCATGCTGATGCCTAGGTAACACCCACAGTGCATGGGAGTCCTGGCTGGGACCAGGTGTTCAGAGAGCCCACTTACCCTTCAACAGGCCCATGTGGTTTAATTGTTGGAGTGGCTGAGGCTAGGTTTGGGAGGAGGCTAGCCTGGGTTGGGGGGTCTTGGGCTGGGACTTGAGGGCACCAGGTACTTCCTGGGGCCACAGTGGGCTGGGAGGTGTGAGTAACAGGATTTCCTGGCTCTGGTGCTGATTCAGCCAATCCACTGATCTCCCTGGTGGGCCAGCCCTGGGTTGGGTGGGATTTTCAGAAGCAGAATCCTGGCCCCTGGCCCACGATGGGAGTCATCTGGGGTGGGAGGAAGTGGCTCAGATAGGACATACGTAGGGTCTATGACAAGGCAGGTAGTGATGCAGAATGAAATAACGAAGACCCAGATGGGTCCCAGGCATAGCCCAGCTGTGGGGGCAGCGATGTCCACTGCAGGCTCAGGGGTCAGGGTCTGGGCCTGGGAGGTTGTCAGGGGTCAGGCAGATGATCCCTGTGGGGGTCAGTGTTAGAGCAAAGGCCAAGTTCAAGTTGGAGGGCTTGGTGGGGCAGCTTCAGGTCACTCGAGAAGCTTTTGACTGGTCAGTGCTCACCAAAATTTTCTGGAATTGTTTGTAGAAGTCTGGAAGGACAGCGGATGTCCTCTTCAGTCATATGTCCCCTGTAGGCATCAGACGGGGGGAAACTCCTTGGCCTGGGATTGAGGAAGCTGTTTAGACACATTCAGACCAGTGCAGCAGTCAGGCTGCCTTTCCAGAGGGAGGAGGATTCACCAAATGACAGAGCTCAATCCACCTGCTGATGGACAGCACGGCTCCGGGGTGGGCTGGTTCGAGTGTCAGGAGTAGCAGGGAGTGCTGCCTGGAGGAGGCATTCTTCAAGGCAGGCGTGACAGTCTAGAGGAAACGAACAGGCGGAAGGAGAGGACATCCTCCCAGCAGATCCCAAGCGAGATGCACACTCTGTAGAGTTCACATGCCCTCTTTCCCCCGTTCCTGTGCGACCTGGGTGCTCCGCTTCCCCTCAGGATGAAGGCTGGCTCATGGGCGTGAAGGAGAGCGACTGGAACCAGCACAAGGAGCTGGAGAAATGCCGGGGCGTCTTCCCCGAGAACTTCACCGAGCGAGTCCAGTGAGGGCAGTGGCTGCTGCAGCACTCTGGGCGTGTGAAGAACACTTTTTCCCGAAAAATGTGTGTTTTTGTTTTTTCTGTTTTTGTTTTTAAACTTTTAAAAAGCAAAGGGAAATTAAGAGGAGAGACCTAAGCCGAGAGGTGTTCTCCCAAAGGTTAGGTTGTTTTCCAAAGAGCCTGGTTTCGGCAAGTGCGGTGGAATCACCAAGCTGCTGTGTCCCCTAGTTGAGTTCCCGGCCGCCCCTGCCCGTGCCTGCTGGGCGTCCACCGCCGCTTGTGTGCCCGGCCGCAGGGCGGGGCCTGGGGCCGCTGAGCCACCACGCTTGCCTGAAGCTTCGGCCGTGCTGCCGGGGCAAGGGTCCTCTTTTCCTGGCAGCTGCTGTGGGTGGGGTCCCGTCTCCCCAGAGACCTCGGGGTCCAGACACCAGCCTTGCCTGGCCCTGCCCCGCAGACCGTCTGTGTGCTGTTTGAAAATAAATCTTAGTGTTCAAAACAAAATGAAACAAAAACTGATGACACTCAGAAAATGTGTCTTCGTTTATTTTTTCTCCCTCCATTTCTGTCTGCAGTGCAACGGAACTGTGATTATCTGTGGCCTTTCTACCAAGACACTCCACCCCCCAGGTCCTTGTCCAGGCGGGGGCTGCTGGGCAACAGGCTCCATTCTTGGCAGTCCTCTGCCAGCTGCTCGGCCACCACTTCCTTTTGGGTTCGCCTGGGCCCAGCCCCGACCACGGGCTTCAGCCCCTGGCCCCTGGTGTTTTTACTGGTGGTTGGTTAGGATGCAGGTGATGGGGGCCGGTGATGGGAAGGGAAGACAAGGGGCTTGAAGAACCAGCTCAGTGCCAAGACATCCACTGGGTGACTGCCTAAGTGATATTATTTAATACATGGGAGAACTCAGGGATCAGATACCAGGACTCCACAGATGAGGAAACTGAGGCCCAAGCAGGTTCGGTGGTGTGCTGGTGAGTGGTGGGCCTGGGTTCTGAACCTGAGGGTGGGCCCCAGGCACATGGGGAATGCCTGAGCCTGGGGGCAGTGATGGGCAAGCTTGGCCCACCCATCTTCTCCCTCGTCTCGCTGCCTGCCTCCCTTTCTGAGGTCAAGGCCCCCACTGCACACAGCCCCGGTTCTGCAGCTCCTCAGCGATGTGGCTGCTCTGAGCAGCATGTGGCACATGCAGCAGTGGCCTGGGTCTCCCAGAAGTTGCTGGAGTTGTGCTCATGGACCCAGGACCAGCTGGAATTCCAGCTGGAAGGGATTTACTCTCCATACATCTGGCTATGGTAAAAGCAGGTGAAAGGGATGAATGTCAGAATCTTAGTTTTTTTTGGGGGCTTTGCTTCAGGTGGCAGGATTGTCACTGCTGTGGCCCTTCTCCTGTGGCTGATGGTGTTGGCTCTGCCAACCATGATTTCTTTGAGTGATAGCGTGGGGAGCTCATTTCCAGTTACCCCTGCTTTGAAAGCTTTAGCTTTTCATTCATTCGTTCCTTCCACACTGACTGACAGGTTAATTCTCTGGCCCAGGGCCATGCAGCTAATCGCTGGGGGAGCCAGGCTTGACCCCCAGACCTGTCCAGCTGCACTTTGCTTCTGAACCTGGGCTGTGTGCCCTGGAGTATGTGGGGGGATGCAGCCCTGGGGCCAACAGGAGAGTCTTCACTTTTATTTCAGAATGAACAATTTAAGCAGATTCTGCAGGAGAAAGCATTTGCCTTAGGTTCATCATAATATGAGATTCAAAGATGTATCAGACGGTCGCTTTGAGCTTCACCCCCTGATCCTCAAGGGGGTCCTGCCCTTGCAGCTGGGGTAATTTCTCAGGAAAGGCCCTGCTCTGTATCATAGTGGTGGGGCCCGCAGGGAGCTCCACATGGGAGGTGGGAGGTGAGAGGGAGCGGAGACAGCTTTGGGGGGAGGGAGCCCGGGCACAGGGCCCCTGCCTAAGTGGGTAAGCAGCCGGCCGGAGCTGAGCTGGGTGAGTGGGAGCTGGGACACTACTGGGTTTGTGTCACTCCGAGAGAATTCAGAGCTGGGCAGCACACACCTCATCAGTGCTAACAGCCCCTCCCTCCCCACGCCCAAGGCCATAGATAACACACGGTCACCAGAGTGTCTTAGAAGTCCCCAGTCCATCTCAGGGGACTCCCCCTGGTCTCCCTCCCTCCTGCTGCTCCCGAGGTCTTCCACAGCAGCTTGGACACTGCCCAGCCTGCTGGCCTCTGGCTCCTCCTTCTGGGTTGGATTTGGTAACCATGCTGGCATTGCTTCTCTTGGTTCCGCTCACCCTTGGCTCTGCCTCTGGGAATTAAAGAATTCACACCCCTAGTCTCACCCACCCCCAAAATGCTGGGTTTATGCTGGGGCATTGTGACCATACGTTAGGTTCATTTGCTCAGCAAGCCTTGGCTGGGTGTCTCTGGTGTCCAGGGTGGGTGGCACTCAAGCTGCGGCTCAGGCCCCGTGATGCTCTTGGCTCCCCTGTCTTCTGGGTGTCGACTTCCTCTTTGGGCTGGGTCCCCAGCGGTTCTGGGTTTGATGTCTGCACACTGCACTGTGCAGAAGAGACTTCCACAGAGGGGAGGGAACTTCCTTCCCAGAAGCCCCCCAGCAAATCTCCTTGGTCTCATTGGCCTGAATTGTCAGGTCCCCAATGCTGAACCAATTGCTGTGGCTGGGCGTGGGACCTCTGGATTGGCCCCAAACTTACAACGCTTAGAGCTGGAGGTGGGGCCAGGCTGGGTGGGGGAGGGTAGACGCCTAAACAAAAATAGGGTATGGCTTCCAAGGAAAAGGGGAGATTCTAGGAGCTCAAACCAGTGAATGTGCACTCCGCGGTGCACATGGCTTCCAGAAAGGGTCATGAGACCAGGGAATGTGACTGGATGGAGACTACAAGTAGGGGTGTGTGTGTGTTGTGAGAGTGAGTGTGTGACACTTGGGAGACCCTTGCTTTCCTCATTCCATCCAGTCTATCTAGGACTGACCTCCAGAGGGTCAGTGGGTGACTGGGGAACACAACCCATGTAGATTGTTCCTCCATGTTCCAGGAGGAATATTCACCCAACACCCCACCCCCACCCCCGCCAGCTCCATGCCCAGAGCCTGTCCCACCAGTGGAGACAGTATAGACGGTGTGTGACCTTCCTTAGCCATTTGGAGACTTGTGTGGCTGGGGATGCACTTGTGTCTATGTAGATCCAGTGTCCTGAACGTTCACTCACTAGCTCATTCACTCATTCACTCACTCACCATTTCCCACATAGGCACCAGATTACAGAGAAGCTTAAAATGTGGTTCCTGCGCCTGATGCGCTCATAGTTCGGGGGAAAGCAGACAAGAACTGTTAGGACTGCCCCAGGGGCTGTCACAGTAGTGTGTTCAAGGTTCTGGAGACTAAAAGGAGCTACCACCCTGGTCTCCTGTGGGAGGAGGAGTCTCCGCTGAGCCTTCAGAGTTAACAGGGTCCGCAGGAGCTGATGCGGGAAGGCCCGTCTCAGGCAGAGAGAAGCAGGAGGAGGAGTGGGCAGGTCTGGCCGTGGGGCCGGCTGAGTGGGAAAGACCCGTGCGTTTCAAGCTCTTGCCAGGGAGCCCGGAGCTCAGGAGAGAGGTCGGGGCTGAGCTGCATCGAGGTGGAGACGAGGGCCAGGGAAGAGATGCGGGCGCCCGGGGAGAGCTTGTAGCAGAGGACGGAGCAGGGCCCAGGGGGGCAGCCTGAGCACCAACAGCAAGAGGAGGGAGGAGGAAGAGGTTTTGCAGGCGTGGACTGCTGAGGAGCTGCAAAATACCTTCCTTGAAGAAGAGCTTCCTGCTTCAGAAACTGCCTCTGGTCTACGAGGCCAGAGAGAACGGGAAGGACAGTCTAGCCTTGCCTGGCCTGCTCTGGGGTCCCCGGGCTCCCCGGGAGGGGCCGCTGTGGGCCGGTTGGAGGATTCGGGCAGGCTGTGACAACGACGTTCCAGGCCTGGCTCTGGTTATGAGGAAGAGCAAATCACTGAGGAAAGGCCCTTCGCAATATCATTAAAAAGGATGATTAACAATGAGCAAGGAAGCCGCCTCCCTGACGGCCCCTGATGACAGATGAGGATCCTGACTGCTGGCAGGAGAAGGGCAGAAGAGGCATGTCCCCACCCCAGTCAGCCAAGATCAACCACAGAGACAAAGATGGACGTTGAGTCTTGCTAAAGGAAAGGCTTGGAATCCCAGCGTGAGCAGAGGTCCTGTCTCTCAGTCTGTCAACCTTGAGTGTTTATCCGATGTCCCCGAAGTGCCCTGCCCTGTGTGAACTTCCAGGGGACCAGGAAGGAGGCACAGCTGATTCCCTGAGGAGATGATAAACTCACGATGGGCCAAAGTTCATATACAGAAACCATCCCAATCCCTAAGTCAACGGGATTTCTTTCTTGAAGCCTGAAACAACACCTTGTTCTTATTTTGGTAGGTCTAGAGGACATGTAGCTTCTATAGAGCAGAGTTATGGAATGGGCTGAGATACTTCTGGAGGGTCATCTTTCATTATGAGCTGGTGACCCCGAATCCATGGCTTCAGGTGAGTGTCCTCACCCAAGCTTCAGGTGCCCATGAAGCTAACTTCATCTAATTGCCAAGCTTCCCCAGATGCCCAAGGGCACCTCAAACTTTATGTGCCTCCAAGCAGGCTTGTCAAACCTGGGGCATCGCCTAGATGCTGCTAGGTGCCCAGCCAATACTCATCTGCTCCTCCTCCCTCACTGAATTCTGATTTTGTTCAGGGTACCAATGAATTCCACTAAAGTCACTCAGCCTTCTTTGCAGCTATGTGTGGCCTTATGACACAGTCTTGGCCAAAGAGATGAGGGAGGGCATCCCTTCCCTAATAAAAAGTCAAAGCCTTCTTAAGAGAAAGGCCCTTGCCTTCTTCCCTGCCTTGGAATGAGGGCTGGAGGTGTAGCAGCCAACTTGTGACCCTGAGGCCACATTCCTGAGGACAAAGAGCCGCTCATCAAGAATGGCACAGGGTAAAGCTGGAGGGGTGGCATTATAGAGCCACATTCATTTCAACCTGACTGGTGTCTCCTGACTTTTTTGTGTGTGACACAAATAAGCCCATCACATTTGCGGGGGTTTCTGTTACTTGAAGTGTTCCTGATTGCTCCATGCTCCTGTGTCTGTCACCGAGTCCTCTGATTGGCCTTTTAAAGAGTTCTGAATCATTTCACCCCATCCCCCACCTCCTCCTGGTTCAGGCCTTCTCACCTCCT